CAATGGACAGATCAACCAGAAGGAAACAGCAGAGTTAATCAGCACTATAGACCAAACGAATGTAAAAAGATATCTACAGAACTTTTCATCCTACAGTAACAGAATACATATTCTCCTCACCTGTGCATGTAACATTCTCTAGGATTGACCACATACTAGGCCATGAAGCAAGTCTTGGGAAATTCAAAAAATCAAAATCATAACATACGTCCTGGACCACAATGCAGTGAAGCTGGAAATCAGCAACTTAGGAATCTCTAGAACATATGCAAACACATGGAAACTGAAAAATATGCTCCTGAATGAACAGTGGGTCATAGAAGAAATCAAGAGAAATCAGAAATTTTCTGGAAACAAATGAAGACAACAATATCAAAACTTATGGGATACAGCAAAAGCAGTATTAAGAGGAAAGTTTATAGTAGTGCTTATTATCAAGAAATGGGAAAGGCAACAAGTAAAAGAGCTATCAATACATCTCAAGGATCTATAAAAATAAAACCAAACCCAAAACTAGCAGGAGAAAATAATTAATTAAAACAAGAAAACAATAAAATTGAATCAAAAAATATACAAAAGATCAGCAAAACAAAGATCTGGTTTTTTAAAAAACAGAACAAAATTGATATCCTATTTGCCCAACTAATCCAAAAAAGGAGAGAGAACACCCAAATCAATAAAAATTAGAGATGAAAAAGAAAATGTAACAACAGACACCACAGAAATAAAAAGAATCATCAGAAATTACTACAAAGAGCCGTATGTCAACAAATAGGGAAACCTAGAAAAAAATGGATAAATTCTTGGCACATACAACCCACCTAAATAAAGCCATGATGACATAAAAAACCTAAACAGACCCATAACCAAGATGGAAATTAAATCAGTAATAAAGACCCTCCCAACAAAGGAAAGCCCAAGACCAGATGTCTTCACTGCTAAATTCTACCAGACATTTCAAGAACTAACTCCAATTCTTCTCAAGTTATTCAATTTAGGAATACTCCCAAATTCTCTATGAAGTCAGCATCACCTTAATTCCTAAACATGAGAAAGATGCAACAGAGAAAGAGAAGTACAGACCAATCTTCCTGATAAACAGATGCAAAATCTTCAACAAAATTCTATCAAATTGAATCCACAACACATCAAAAAGATCACCCAACAAGACCAAGTGGGATTTATCCTTGGTATGCAGGGATGGTTCAACATTCACAATTCAATCAATGTGATACATCACATTAACAAACTGAAGAACAAAAGCCATATGATTATTTTAATAATGCAGAGAAAGCATTTGATAATACAACACTCTTTCATGATAAAAACTCTAAGCAAATTGATAAAGAAGGAACATTCCTTCACAATCAAGGCAATTTATGACAAAGCCATGGCAAGTGTCCCATTGAATGGGGAAAAGTTAGAAGCATTCCCACTGAGATTCAGAACCAGACAAAGATGTCCAGTCTCAGCATTGCTATTCAATATAGTCCTGGAAGTTTTATCCAGAGCCATTAGGCAAAAAAAAGAAATCAAAGGGATACAAATCAGGAAGAAGGATGTCAAACTATCCCTACTTACAGATAACATGCTAGCAATAAGGGATCCAAAAGACTCCACCAAGAGACTATTGGAACTCATAGAAAAGTCTGGTAAACTAGCAGGCTATAAAATCAATACAAAAAATTCAACAGCCTTTCTATACACAGATAATGCCATGGCTGAGATTGAGTTTCTAAGATCAAACCCATTCACAGTAACTACCAAAGAACTCAAATACCTTGGGATAAATTTAACCAAGGATGTCGAAGATCTATATGATGAGAGTTACAAAACATTAAAGAAAGAAATAGGGGATATCAAAAAATGGAAAAATCTTCCATGTTCATGGTTTAGAAGAATCAATATCTCCAAAATGTCCATATTTCCAAAATCAATTTACAGATTCAATGCGATACCAATCAAAATACCAAAGACAGTCTTCTCAGATCTAGAGAAAATTAGACTGAAATTCATATGGATGCACAGGAGAACTCAAATAGCTAAAACAATCTTAAACAACAAAAATAAAGCTGGAGGCATTACAATACCAAATTTCAAGACATTCCTCAAGGAAGTTATCAAAACAGCCTGGTTCTGATACAAAAGCAGATGGATAGACAAATGGAATGAAATGGAAACACCGCAAATCATCCCAGCATCTACAACCAACTTATATTTGACCAAGGAGCTAAAACTAGTCCCTGGAGCAAGGGTAGTCTCTTCAACAAATGGTGCTGAGGAAACTGGATTTCCAGATGCAGAAGTGTGAAGCAAGACCTATACCTTACACTTTACACAAAAGTCCATTCAAGTTGGATTAAAGATCTAAGTCTACAATCCAGTTCCATCAAATTATTAGAGAACTTTGGAGAAACCCTTCAAGACATTGGAACTGGCAAAGAGTTCTTGGAGAAGACCCCAGAGGCACAGGCAGTCAAAGCCAAAATTATCAAATATGATTACATCAAATTGAGATGTTTCTGTACCACAAAAGAAACATCTAAGAAAGTTAAAAGGCAACTGACAGAATGGGAGAAATTATTTGCAAACTCTGCAACTGATAAATGATTAATAACCTGAATCTACAAAGAGATCAAGAAACTACACAACAACAAAACAAACAACCCACTTAAGAGATGGACAAAGGACTGAAACAGACATTTTTCAAAAAAAGAAATCTAAATGGCCAGAAGACACATGGTAAAATGTTCAGGATCACTAGCTTTCAGGGAAATGCAAATCAAAACCACAACGAGGTTAACCTCACCCATTTAGAATAGCTTTCATACAGAAATCCACAAACTATAAATTCTGGTGAGGATGTGGGGGAAAAGGTATCTTAATTCGCTGTTGGTGGGAATGTAAACTGGTAAAATCACTATGGAGATACTTCAGAAATACAAATATAGACCTACCGTATGACACAGCCATCCCACTCCTGGGAATTTACACAAGGGAAATGAAATCAGCATGTTAAAGAATTATCTGCACCCCCATGTTTTTTGCAGTTCAATTCACAATAGCTAAGATATGGAATCAACCCAAGTGCTTGTTAATTGAAGACTGGATAATGAAATTATGGGATATGTATACTAAGGAATACTACATGGCAGTAAAAAAAAAAAAAAATGAATGATTCTGGAAAACATCTTACTTAGTGAAATAAGCCAGTCCCAAAGGGACAAATACCTTATATTCTCCCTGGTTGTGAGAATTAATAGAGCACCTAAGCCAATCTGTAGTAGTGAAATAGACACTTCCAGAGACTTGAGCTGGCTTTGTCTTGACTGTCGAGAAACCATTTCACTTTGTTTTTTCTTTTTTTTCTTCATACTATTTATTGAACTCTTTACTTAACATAGAGTTAATCATCTGGGTATGAAATCAATTGAAAATAAATCTCAGCAAAAAAAAAAAAAAAAGAGTGGGAATAAAAGAGGGAGGAGGAAGTTTGTAATGTAAAACTGTATAGTTCTGCGTACATTCCTACAGACTTACTTCTAAAGGTATGGTTTAAAAACTTCTCATGGGACCCTAAATCCTATTAAGCTGGGTGGTAAAAATGCCATCTTAAGTGTTAAAGTGATCATATAAATAGGATAGGATTAAGTGTTAAAGTGATCATATATAGATAGGATTAAGTGTTAAAGTGATCATATAAATAGGATCCAGTGTCTGTTGATAATAATAGAAATAAAAAGATGAGAATGTTCCAATATGGGGAGCAGTCCACACAGAAGACTCAGAATGACAATCGCTTTAAGTAATACTCTGACCTCAGAATCAGCCCTTAAGGCTTCCTGGTCTGGCTGAGAGCATTTCAGGCATGGAAAGCCAAGTCACTGTGGCAAAAAGTGTTCTACATGAAGGTTCTATTTGAGTGAGTCCCCAGTGGCAAGAAGTGGCCATCAAAGAAGGATGTACTTTTCTCTAAAGGCAGGAGAGAACTTCCACTTTGCTTATGGCCTTGTCTAAATACTGACAAAGTTTGTGGATTCAAAAGGCTTCCATAGCCTAGGCAGCTCATGTTAAGAGCCTCAGGTGGTCACTGACATCATACTTAAGAGTGTTAACTGTTACATTAATAAGAGTCACTGTGCACTAACTCCCTATGCAGGACGTTTTTACTCAGTGAGTTGTAGTATGTGAGTTAACTTTAAAACTAGTTTTCAGGTTTTGTGTGTGTGTGTGTGTGTGTGCATGTGTGTGCAAATTGTTCAAATCGGTACTTAGTATAGTATTAGTCTTCTGTGTACAAAGTTAATTGAAAATAAATCTTGGGGCCGGCGCCGTGGCTCACTTGGTTAATCCTCTGCCTGCGGCGCCAACATCCCATATGGGCACCAGATTCTAGTCCCGGTTGCTCCTCTTCCAGTCCAGCTCTCTGCTGTGGCCCGGGAGGGCAGTGCAGGATGGCCCAAGTGCTTGGGCCCCTGTACCTGCGTGGGAGACCAGGAAGAAGCACCTGGAACCTGGCTTCAGATCAGCGCAGTGCCAGCCATTTGGGGAGTGAACCAGCGGAAGGAAGACTTTTCTTTGTCTCTCTCACTGTCTATATCTCTACCTGTCAAATAAAAGAAAAAAAAAAGAAAAGAAATCTTAATGGAGAATGGGACTGGGAGGAGGAGAGGTAGGGGGAGGATGGGTGTGAGTGTGAGTGGGAGGGCAGGTACGGTGGAAAGAATAACTATATTCCTAAAGCTGTACTTATGATAATTTAGGTACAAAAAGTTGGGAAAGAGGTGTCTTCAAAAGTTAATAGAAAATAGCCCAGACCAGCAGAGGCAGCAGCCGGAGCAGCCGCAGCCTGCGCCCTCTCCCGCCCGCCCGCCCTCCGCCGCCCTCCGCCGCCCTCCACCGCCCTCCACCCTTCCCGGGGTCTCTTTCCCCCTTCCTCCTCCTCCTCCTCCACCCCCCCTTCCTCCTCCGCCCGCCCGCGGGGCCCCCCTCGCCTTCCCGCCCGCCCCTATTGTTCCGCCCCCGGCCTCCCGCCCTTCCCCTTCCCGCCCGCTCCCCCTTTCCCCCTCAGTCGCCTCGCGCCTGCAGTTTTGGCTTCACCCCCATCAGTGACCAAAGACTTTACCACTCAGTCCAGCTCCCAAGAACACCGCTCGAAATGGACACCGGTGTGATTGAAGGTGGATTAAATGTCACTCTCACCATCCGGCTACTTATGCATGGCAAGGAAGTTGGTAGTATCATCGGAAAGAAAGGAGAATCTGTTAAGATGCGCGAGGAGAGTGGTGCACGTATCAACATCTCAGAAGGGAATTGTCCTGAGAGAATTATCACTTTGGCTGGACCCACTAATGCCATTTTCAAAGCATTTGCTATGATCATTGACAAACTGGAAGAGGACATCAGCAGCTCTATGACCAATAGCACAGCTGCCAGTAGACCTCCGGTTACCTTGAGGCTGGTGGTTCCTGCTAGTCAGTGTGGCTCTCTCATTGGAAAAGGTGGTTGCAAGATCAAGGAAATAAGAGAGAGTACAGGGGCTCAGGTGCAGGTGGCAGGGGATATGCTCCCCAACTCAACTGAGCGGGCCATCACTATTGCTGGCATCCCGCAATCCATCATTGAGTGTGTCAAACAGATCTGCGTGGTCATGTTGGAGACTCTCTCCCAGTCCCCTCCGAAGGGCGTGACAATCCCGTACTGGCCCAAGCCGTCCAGTTCTCCGGTCATCTTTGCAGGTGGTCAGGCCTATACCATTCAAGGACAGTATGCCATTCCACAGCCAGATTTGACCAAGCTGCACCAGTTGGCAATGCAACAGTCTCATTTTCCCATGACCCATGGCAACACCGGATTCAGTGGCATTGAATCCAGCTCTCCAGAGGTGAAAGGCTATTGGGCAGGTCTGGATGCATCTGCTCAGACTACTTCTCATGAACTCACCATTCCAAATGATTTGATTGGCTGCATAATCGGGCGTCAAGGCGCCAAAATCAATGAGATCCGTCAGATGTCTGGGGCGCAGATCAAAATTGCGAACCCAGTAGAAGGATCTACTGATAGGCAGGTTACCATCACCGGATCTGCTGCCAGCATCAGCCTGGCTCAATACCTAATCAATGTCAGGCTTTCCTCGGAGACGGGTGGCATGGGGAGCAGCTAGAACAATGCAGATTCACCCATAATCCCTTTCTGCTGTTCACCACCACCCATGATCCATCTGTGTAGTTTCTGAACAGTCAGCGATTCCAGGTTTTAAATAGTTTGTAAATTTTCAGTTTCTACACACTTTATCATCCACTCGTGAATTTTTAATTAAAAGCGTTTTAATTCCTTTCTCTGTTCAGCTGTTAATGCTGAGATCCATATTTAGTTTTTTTTTTTTTTTTTTGACAGGCAGAGTGGATAGTGTGAGAGAGAGACAGAGAGAAAGGTCTTCCTTTGCCGTTGGTTCACCCTCCAATGGCCGCCGCTGCAGCCGGCGCACCGCGCTGATCCGATGGCAGGAGCCAGGATCCAGGTGCTTTTCCTGGTCTCCCATGGGGTGCAGGGCCCAAGCACCTGGGCCATCCTCCACTGCACTCCCGGGCCACAGCAGAGAGCTGGCCTGGAAGAGGGGCAACCGGGACAGAATCCGGCGCCCTGACCGGGACTAGAACCCGGTGTGCCGGCGCCGCAAGGTGGAGGATTAGCCTATTGAGCCACGGCGCTGGCTCTAAAGATCCATATTTAGTTTTATAAGCTTCTCCCCGTGTTGTTTTTTTGTTTTTTTTTTTTTTTTGGTTTTTTTTTGGCTCATGAATTTTTCTGTTTGTCATGGAAATGTAAGAGTGGAATATTAATACATTTCAGTTTAGTTCTGTAATGTCAGGAATTTTTCAAAAAAATTAAAAGATGGACTGGAGCTTTTTCTTTGTGAATAGAAAAAAAAGTTAATAGAAAATAAATATGGAAAAACTATGCATGGATTGCAAATTTTTTTAATAAATTGTTGCAATCACAGTTTGTGCAGATTGCATATCTTTTCTTTCTTTTTTTTTTTTTTGGCTTTTGTTTGTTTGTTTGTTTGTTGGAAAGATAGAGTTACAGAGAGGTAGAGCCAGAGAGAGAAAGCAATCTGCCATCATCTCATTTACTCCCCAAATGTATGCAATGGCCAGAGCTTAGCCAATCCAATGTCAGGATCCAGGAGCTTCTTCCGGGTCTCCCAAGTGGATGCAGGGGCCCAACGACTTGGGCCATCCTCAGCTGCTTTCCCAGGCATATTAACAGGAACTGGATTGGAAGTAGAGCAGCCAGAACTTGAACTGGTGCCCTTATGGGATGCCGGTGCTCCAGGCTGGGGCTTTAACCTGCTGTGCCACGGAGCCTCCCCCTCCCTTTTTTTTAGTATTCATTTATTTACTTGAGATGTAGAATTATAGTCAGAGGGAGAGATGGAGAGAAAGGTCTGCTATCTGCTGGTTCACCCCAAAATGGCTGCAATGGCTGGCACTGGGCCAATCCACAGCCAGGTGCTGGGAGCTTCTTCTGGGTCTCCCATGCAGGTGCTGAGGCCCAAGCACTTGGGCCATTTTCTACTGCTTTCCCAGGCCATAGGAGAGAGCTGGATTGGAATAAGACAGCCAGGACATGAACTGGTGACCATTTGGAATTTTGGGGCCACTGGCAGAGGCTTAGCCCCCTAACCACAGCCCCGGCCCTGGATTTCTGATACATTTAATTTCATTTTTCCATGAACTTTATGATATACCCTTGTATAACACTGTCTTGCTAGCAGCCTCACTCTAGAGATTATCCACACCAGCTTTGAGTAATGCCCATGTTAGAGAAGCCCACTTATGAACAGGTGATCTCTAAAAGGTAAGAGTGACCTTTAGTTGAGAGCCAGTAAGAAGCCAAAGTTCTCAGTCCTATAGCTAAATGGAAATGAATTCTTCCAATAACCTGGATTGGATTGTAAGTAGATATTTTCCCTCGTCAAACCTTCAGATAAGAATCCAACCTGGCAACATGTTGGTTGCAGCCATGTAAATACCTGAGCAGAAGACTCAGTTAGTCCATGGCTGGAATGCTGAGGCCCAGAAACTGAGGTAATAAATATGGGTTTTTGTAAGTTGCTGGGTGTGGTAATTTAGTTTTCAGTGATAGAAATTTTTAAAAACATTAGTTAAATTATCTATTTGCAGTAACAGCTTTGACTGGCAAACTTATTGGGGACCTCGATGACCTTTGGTGAGCATATTGCTCATCTACAGGAAGCATAAGGAAGTACAGGAAGTTGTGAACACTGCACATGCACAGATGTCACTAGATGAGTTTTGCGCAGGGAATATAGAGCATATGTTCATCTAACAAATTGGTTAACTGAAGCCAGTAACATAGCTTTCTCCTGTACTGTAGTGCTTGTGACTTGTGTTTTGTAGTCATTTACTCTATCTTAACAGATAAATAAAGCTTTAATAAGAAGGCAAGAACTGACAAAGAAACAGAGAAAGTTATTTATTTACATATAAGTATGGGAGAGCAAGACTGATATCCCCAAGACGGATAAAACAAAAGAATGCAAATAAAACTTGTAATGCTACTCATATCAAATGTATAAACTTTAGAATCTAAATAGTATGATAAATCCAAATTTTTTTGTTTATAATTACATTCTTAGGATGTGGTATAGAAGCTAAGGGGCCGGCGCCACGGCTCACTAGGCTAATCCTCTGCCTTGCAGCGCCGGCACACCAGGTTCTAGTCCCGGTCGGGGCGCCGGATTCTGTCCCGGTTGCCCCTCTTCCAGGCCAGCTCTCTGCTGTGGCCAGGGAGTGCAGTGGAGGATGGCCCAAGTGCTTGGGCCCTGCACCCCAGGGGAGACCAGGATAAGTACCTGGCTCCTGCCATCGGATCAGCGCAGTGTGCCGGCCGCAGCGCGCCGGCTGCGGCGGCCATTGGAGGGTGAACCAACGGCAAAAGGAAGACCTTTCTCTCTGTCTCTCTCTCTCAATGTCCACTATGCCTGTCAAAAAATAAAATAAAAAAAAAAAGAAGCTAAGGGGAAAATCAATTTGAAAGAAAAAAATCTTAAAAGAAAGCAAATAATAGATTTTAAATTTTTAGCTGGTGGTTGCCATTGGGTGGTTTTTTTTGGTTTTTTTTTTTTTTTTTTTTGTAAAAAGATTTTTTTAATGTTTAAATGCCTGATTTTCAATTCCTATGAAATTTTTGTATGGGAGTCATTTCACAGTAAGAGGCTTTTATAATATTTGACCTTTTTTGGAAGAAAAACAGTTGATTACATTAAACTTAAGATTATCAGATTTGTGAGTTTTGATTTTATAGTTAATTATGTGAATTGTGTTATTTCATGTGTCATTGTAAGAAAATCAAAGATTGAAACCAGAACTCTAGATTTTCTGAAAGTCCAATCCAGAGACTGCTCCAACTTTCAGCTCTGGGAATCTCAGGCCAGTGTGGGCATCTGATGCGGAGCCCATCACTTCCTCTTTGAGTTTCTTGGGGAGGTGAGAGCATCAGTCTGAGGGAGCATCAGATAGACAGAGAGAGTGCTTTCTGGTGGAGTTGCTTGGCCAGACCAGAGCGGATTCCACTGAGCTTCACACCTGCTGTCAGTCCAGGAACTCTGAGGCAGGTCTTAACATGGGGAGTCCCCTCAGTTCTTTACTCTGCATCATCACCCAGTTTCCCTAACATTCGCCTCTGCTGACCTGAGGGTGTGACTCAAATCAAGGTCTCACTTCCCTGAGGCTTTTGAGGAGGAAGTGAGGGTGTGGCACTTTTGATTCCCTATGCCCTGGTCTTCTGTGATTGCTGATGTGAAGAACCCATTCTCTGATGTGACAAATTCAAATCCACAAGATGATGATGAGCATTCTGTGCACCCACTGTGCATGGGTGACTGATATTTTTGAGGATCGGAACAGCCTCTTGAAAATGTGGCTTGGAAAGGTTATTAAAAACATGGGAAAATGGTCTGAATAAACACATCACCAAAGAAATTATACAGATGGCAAGCAAGCATATGGAAAGGTGCTTTACATCATGTGTCATCAGATGATAATTGAAACAGTGAAATACCACTACACACCTATTAGAATGGTGAACATCTGAACCACTGGCAGCATCAAATGCTTGTGAGGATGTGGCGTAGCAGAAACTCTTCATTGCTAGTTAGATTGCAAACATGGTACAGCCATCATGGTAGACAGTTTGACATTTTCTTACAAACAAATCCATCTGTTGTACTCCTTGGTTTTTACCTAAAAGAGTTGAAAATTTATGTCCACACAGATGAAGCAACCAAGAAGTCTTTTTTTTTTTTAATTGATGTTACTCATTTGAAAGGCAGAGTTAGAGGGAGGGAGGAACAGGATGATAGAGAGATCTTCCATCTGCTGGTTCACTCCCCAAATGGCCAAGCAGCTGGGATTGTGGCAGCCTAAAGCCAGGAGCCATGAATTCTATCTGGGTCTCCCATGTGGCTGGCAGGGGCCCAAGCACTTTGGCCATCATCTGCTGTTTCCCAGGTGCATTAGCAGGGAGCTGGATGGGAAGTGGAGCAGCTGGAATTAAAACCGGTGCTCATGGAATGCCATTGCTGCACTACAACACGGGCCCCACCAAGACACCTTTCAGCAGATGAACAGATAAATAAAATCTGGTAGGTTTAGACAATGGAGTATTATTCAACACTAAGTAAATGAGCCATCATGCTACAAAAAGACATAGGAATGTGAATGCATATTACTGAAGTGAAAGAAGCCAGTTTACAAAGGATGTATGCTACATATTTCTAAGTATATGACAGTTTCAGACAAAATTATGGGGGCAGTAAAAGGATCAGTGGTTGCTGAGGGTTGAGGAGGAAGGGATGAATAGGCAGAGCACATGGGATTTTTTAGTGCAGTGAAAGGGTGCCTGATACTAAAATGAGGGATACATGTCATTGTGCATTTCTCCAAACTCATCACAGTGAGCCCTAATGTAAACTGTGGACTGGGAGATAATGGTAAATTGATGTAGGTTCATTAGTTGTAACTAATGTACAACTCTGGTGGGGGATGCTGATAGTTGGGGGAGGGAGTTGTACATGGTGTCGGGGGCCTGTGGAAACTACTGCTAGGTTTTGCTTTGGACATTAAACTGGTCTAAAAAAATTTGTGTGTGTGTGTGTGTATGACAGATAATAACTTGTGTTGCCTTCCTTGCCTTTTCCTGGTTCACATACCTTAATAAGTCAATTTGGTCAGTCAATGAGGTAGTCCCTCTGTGGGTTAGGTGTTCAGGAGCCCAGCAGCATGCTAATAGCAGCTTTTCAAAACCA